CCTGGTAAAAGAAAAAAAAAAAAAAAAAAAAAAAAAAAAAAAATCAGCAAATCGTCAACAGGATAGCCACATGAAGACTGTTCAAAAGCTCATACTTTAGCACGGCAGGAATTCAAATCGTACATGCCCGTCCTCTCCGAAATTAACTTGCCAAGGGAGACATGGGGCCACGATGCTACTCTGTTCCTAAGCCCGACTGAAATACCATCCACCAGCTGGCCTGCAAGGAAGAAGGTGCTAGTGCTGTTGTAGCCAGGATGATCTAAGGACACAGGCAAGACACAGTTAGTAGACGATAGCAATATCTTTTGCTAGTCCAAGAGATGTAACTGGAAGAAAGAGACGAAGTTTGGGGAACACAACGCCTGAAACACAAGTGGGAGACTTCAGAGCTATGTACAAGTTGAGAAGAATTGCTCAGACCTGCATTGGTTAGATCATTTTTGGAAAAAAAAAAAAAAAAAAAAAAAAAGCTGGACTTGTGAGTCTAGCATGTGGGCTAGTAGGGGGAGAAGCATTTGATAAAGGTAATTCTTTCCTAGGAGAAAAAAAAGAGATGGCTAATAACCTCTTTGCAGATCACAGAGAAGCTAGCAGGGAGAAGGGAAATCGTAAAGCCATTAAACTAGCATTCCTTCTAATTTCCTGTTTTTTTGGCATTTAGTGGAGTTCTGAATTTAATTCCCAGGCTCATCTTTGAAAAATGTCCTGTTCAGGGAGACCAAAGTTTACCTGCCATTCCTCCCCGAGCCCCCTGCACTGCGCTCCAGCCCCTCACCCGCAGGCAGGGAAGAAGAAAGGCAAGGTGGAAATACATAAAAGAAGGGGGGAGTTAAGCTGGAGGAAAACATTCCTCACAGAGTTTTCAAGTTATCCAGCTACAGTGATTTCCAAAGCAGAGCGTTTCTAGCACACAAGAGAAGCTGAAAGAAACGTAGTTGTCAAGAAACAAATCTATGACGAGGCTGAGGTCTGGAAAGAGTCCGAGTGGCAGTCAGGGGTAGGTGCTGGTGGGCACCAGCAGGGGATACCTGTTCCTGCCACTTCTGCCCTCCAAGGCAGCTCGCACAGGTTTTTCTACTAGGACTCGTCCTTGCATGTTTATTTGCTTTAATCTTCTCCAAGAAAAGCGACTAAAAAGGATAATATTTCCACTGGCCTTAGCTTCTCTATAAACCTGTCCTTAAGACCTTTGGGTCCAAGCTGAAATGGCAGTATGCCTTTAACCAGCAGAAATGAGGTAAAACGCTGAACTCCCTTCCCTCGGTCCCCATCCGAGCGCTCTGCTGCTCTGCGCACGAGTCAGTTGGCTCCTGAAGGAATTCAGGTAGATCCCCAACAAACACACACCTCCTACTCAAGGGAGGGTTTTTTGGAGGGGGGAAAAAAAAATACAGAGAGCCAGGTGCAAAACGCAATTAAAATCCTGCTCTGCAAGACAAGCACAAGAATCCAGCTCCTCTCCGTCTCTACTTAACATCAGAGCTGTATTTATAGTGTTTTCCAAAGTGATAAAAGTCAGCTGAACACTATGCTGAAACACATTTCTTGTTTTGGTTTTGTAAAGAAAAAAGATAATATTTCCATTGGGCTATTGCATGGAGGGGAACCAGGAGAAGCCACGCTCCAGTTGCACAGCATTAAGAAATAGGAGAGCCCGTTTCCCTCCAAAATACTTGCTACATCATGTATTCCTGTGCGTAAGCCTGTCCCCCAAGCTAACCAGAGTGGCTATGCCCTTTTCCACCGAAGCCCAGCACCCGAAAGTGCTCTCTCTAGCCTTCTCGTGCCCCTAGAGCGGCTCCAACACAAAATCCAGCTCATGGGATTTCTTAACAAGACAGACCGCGCTCTCCCGCGGACAGCACGCTGGTCCAACAAATCACCTTCAAAGCAAGCTCAGAAAGGAGAGTCATCAGCGAGACCTGTCAAACAGCAAACTCAAATTTGTTTAATACATGCAGAATTCAAAACTGAGAAGGCACAAAACTCGATTTACTTCGATCCAGCAGCTAACTGGATTAAACTCTTCAACTTCACTAGAAACAGAAAGTTTTTCTTGTGGGAAAGCTTCACACCACGCTTACAAGGGGATTTTCAGCCTCCTCAGCACATGCTTTCCTACACAGTCAGTCAAATTCTGCTTTCAAAAGGCTGTGGCTCAGCCTGGCAGTGGTTCCCATGCTTTAAAGCACAGGGGTTTCTGAGCACTACAGAAGCGTTGCATGGAGCAGCACTGTTCTTCTAAGCATACGTTTGGTGGAGGACTGCACAAACTGCACTTCTAACTGAGCCCACAAAACGTTGTATGCACCTTTTTAAGCTCCTAGCAATGCCCACTGTTATGAAAAAGTAAAAATTTTAGCAAAAGAAATACCTCTTCCACTCTGCGTCTCCTTGAAGTCACGTCAAAGGGAAAAAAAAGCACGCCTATTGGATTAGATAAAAGGGAGGTTTGCCTCAGTCTTCCTGACTAGTCTCCAGCCTAAAACATTATCTACAGTGGCAGGGATGTCAGCTGTCTTGGATCCCCGAGAGGTAGCAGCTGGCATGGATATGCAAGCCCACATTTAAATAGCAAAGCTGTTTTGCATGTGAGGGGAGGTTCCATCTGAGCTGGACAAATGCTAGCGAAAGGCTTAAACGATCCTGCTAATTAAACAGCAGATACCAACCAACTGATTGACAGGATTGTGGAATAGCTATTATTGCTAATGGTTAAGGAGCTTCAGTGTGCTGTTTTACTTCCCGGTCCTCTTGTCCCAGGAGGGGGGAAGTTCCTCCAGCCCCAGCACAGGGACTCCCAGGGATTCCTTGCAAAATGCTCCTGAGCTCCGGGAAAGTTTGCCGAAAGAACCCCCAAAACGATTATGAACAGCAGGTGAGGGTGCTCTGATAATCTGAGGCATTTCTCCGCTGGCTCTGCCCACCTCCCACCCATCAGCATGCTGTTTCTAAATGAAGAAAGGGGTTAACACAGATGGGTTTAAGCCAGAGTCGTAAAGGACCGACTTGCCGGTGCCTGCAGATGCAGCTGCTGGTGGCCCGTGTGCAGGAGTTACCGGAGACAAACCTCACGTAGGCTGTGAGCTAAGGAGCAGCGTGAGGCAGTGGGAAGGAGAGGAGAGCGCGAGCCCAGGGGCCTGGCGTGGACTGCGCGGCGGGAAGCTGGGGGAGAAGGGGACGGTGGCACCTTCCCCCAGGTGTGCCCCGGTGGGCTTAGAGGCAGCCCCTGCCGCGGCTGTTGCTGGCAGTGCCCGAGCAAATCCGCACCATGATCTCACGACTGCCTTATGCTACAGATGTAACGTTGTGCTGCTGCTGTCAGAGATGGTCTTGCCTTTCCCCTTCCTTGCTCTTTCTCTTGCTTTCCCCTCGTCGCTCATGTGTTCCCATTGCTGATGTTAATGCTTCTTGACTCTGAAGTGATCTAGCTGTGAAGTAACCCAGGAGGAAAAAAAAACCCTAAATAACAATCCTACAGCCAGATTTTGCTAATAGTGAAAAAGGAGGAAACAAAGCCCCCTCGCTTGATGGGAGTTGTGCAAGCCAAATAAAGAGTTGCAAGGGTTTACAACCATGCAACCAATCTAATTTGATGCTATTACTTTACCATCTTCCCTCACTCTTGAGCCACCCTGTATCCCTTCCTGTGCCAGCACTGATGCTCATCTTACGCTGGCAAGACATCAGAGGATGTCAATCTGGCAGAGAAGCAATCCAGCAAAAACAAGTGAATAGTTTTCTGCTGGGTCAGTGCCCTGGACTGCTTCACCAGAAGTCAGACAAGCAGCAGGACCAGCAGTAGGAGAGGGAGCAGGAGCGTGAAGCTGTTGTCAGGAGGAGCAGAGCCGCCTCTGACTGGGAGCTAGCCACTGGATCACATCAGCTGTATCATAAAACAACGCCCCATGTTTATGAACCTTGCTTTAAAGAATTGCTTTGGACTGAGAGACACACAAGAAGCTGGAAGCACCTGTATCTCACTGCTTTACCTGGAATCGAACACTCCTCAACATGAGGAAGAACCCCTCCAGAGACAATGGCATTGATATACACTAGATTGCAACTTTTAACAGTGACTCTTGGAGAAAATCTGGAGTAAAGTACAACAGAAGCAATTAAACTTTACAATTCTGTTGTAAAGTACAACAGAAGACACTGAAGAGGCTGCTAGGGTACAGTCTGCCAGAAATGGAGATATGGACAATCGCTTTGAGGATTTCTTCACCTCTTTAGTGCTCCTTGGCTAAGAGGGGCATTACTCAGGTGGCGTTCTGACTCACGCGCTTTGCCTCTGCAGCCAGACAACCCATACATGCTCGTTTGCTTAACAGAAATCACCTCACCTGGCTGAAGCATAAAATGGGTTGCCCCCCTCCCCTTAGAGGGGGAAGTCCCAAATAGGGCTTGCTGTGGTGGCAACAGCTCCCTGCTCTGTGTTGGCAGGAGGCAGCATGGCCCTGTCCCCAGGTGCCTCCTGTCACCCAGTGCCCCTTCCCCGCCTGTGAAGAAGGTAACAGCTTAGAAAGGCCAAGAACCGCTATCAAAATGAAGAACGCAGGCTTAGTCCTGCTGTTAGGTCAACCCAGGCAGGCCCTGGCACCTGTGCAGGATGACCACGCAGCCGGAGCGTGGGCACCCAGCAGTCCTACCCTGGCTCGGCTGCTGCCAAGCGCTCCCAGCAACCAGGCCTCCGGCACTCCTCCTCGGATGCTATCCCGTACTGCAGTCCTCTATCTGCAAAACAGTTACCTTCCCGTAAAAGAAAAAGTGCTTTCTCCAAACAACGTGTTGTGTGCTGTAACTATTTGACAAAACCACTCCTTGCTATCTATAAAAAATGGATTTCTCAGTGTGGACATGCTGGGTCTGGTCCCCCCCCCCCCCCCCCCCCTTCCTCTCACATAGGAGCCAGGTCTGAGGAGAAGCAAGCTCTTCACTTCTGCTATTCCACACTGATTTCATTGCTCTTATATCTGATTGTTGTACTGAAAATGTTTTTTAAAAGGTTAAAAAATGCAAATGGGGTGTGTGGGTGCATTAATAAGAGGATATAAAAATAATGCAGGAGATAATCTAACGACAGGGTATTGAACAATGGAGCATTTGCATGTGGAGGACCGTGTTTGGTTTCAGGTGCCACCTTGTAGGAAAGATACAGCAAGAGCTTCCAAAGAAGGCTAAGAAACCGAATTTAGAAGTTCACGGTGGTGCGTGTACCTGAAAAGAGATTAACAGGAAAACAACAAAGGTTACAGTTACTGAAAGACGGATACCCAGTCAATCAAAAATGATCAATGTATGTCATGGTATAGCCTTGTATGGTGATATATCTATATCAGTTTCCCTTGTGCAGTTTAAGCCTGAATTTATTGTTGTGTTAAACTACAGACAGGTAAGCCCAGCTCAGGTAATTCAGTAACTATTACTGTGCTGTACGGTGTAGCACCTGTAATTGGTCAGGCAGCTAGTTCAAATCAAGAGGTCTTCTGTGTAGTCAGGCCATGTGTTTCTGCAAATTTTCAGTTAACACACTGCGGGCTGCTCTCCAGACATTAGGGAATCTGAGCATCATCTGAGCAGAACCTAAATCCTACGGGCCTGCAATCTGCACGAAAGCCTGCTTTGTCAGGAAAAAAAAAAAAAGGAAAGAAAATGCCCAAGTACTAATAATGAAAGTAGCCTGTGTAAATGCTCATGGTAGAGCTCTATGGGGCACAGGGCTCACTGGACAACGCAGATTTGGATTTCTGGACAAGGAAGAAAAAAACAGTCAGATTTGTATTCCAATTCTGGTTAAGGAAAGGAGCCTTTGCACACATTTGAAGTCACCATCTCACCATCCTCCTCAGCCGCAAGAGCTAAGGAACGGCTGCAAAGCAGCAGGAA